AGGCTACGTCCACACTAGCCCGGATAGATTTGAAAACGCTCTGCGTCCACACTAGGGTTTTCAGTCGTTTTCACAGAGTTGTGCATCCACATTGAAACGCTTACATTCCAGTACTGTGCATGGGCTGAAGGAAGGACAATACTCGGTGTATAAATGCTCAATCAACAATCCTGTATTCCATACAATTCAACACTTTAAGAGCACAAACCATCCGGATGGGGAGACATGCATGAAGAGGGTCACAGCAAGTCTCAAAATGGTGGAGCGTTACCCAAAGCTTTTATAGCCTCTGTTGACCCCACCTAGTCGTAAAAAGCTCAAACTTACCATCTAACTCTCAGTGAGCCTGTGTTATGACCTTGGCTCCCTGCCTATCTGCTTCCAACAAGGGGGTGAGCTCCTGTGGAATGTGCTCTGTGCTCTCTGCACACAGTATTCTCTTCTTAACTCAGCAGTATGAAATGCCATGAAACAGTGTAACTCACTCACAGTAAATCAACAGTATAGGATAGTACAAACCTATCTAATGAATCTAATGATTTTCTAATGATTCTTTTGTAATTCAGAAGCATAGTGCAAACTAGAACTACAACTACATACTAATTATACTCTCTATAATGAGTATGGTGTGGCTTACAGCAGTATAATGATTCACTCATTTCGATTACAGACATAGGATAACACATGATAAAATAATAATCTCACAGCACACACACAAAGGAACCCTCCGACCAAACATACTTCAAAACAAACATCACATTGGGGAGACAGGTCAGAGAGGTAGGCTGATAAGAAAAACAACAAAAATACACAACATGAGGCGAGAGGAGGGAAAAAAAGCTCCACCCAGACTGAGCTTCTGATGGGAGAACAACAAAAAACACCTCAGCACAAAAGCACATGAATCTTAATACACCATAGAAGCACATGACAAGCAACAGGTGTGGGTAAGGGGTGAGAGTAAGTCGGTGTAGACAGCACATCCGGTCCTGCAGCATGGGCTGGGACTAGACCCGCCGTTCAACCTCAGCCTTGGAGATAAGCGTTCAAAGGTGTTTGGAATCCAGGATGGGGGACACAGGATGGGAATGAAGAGTCTACAGAGTCTGTCATCGGAAACAGAGTTTTTTGTTGGTCAGCTCCAGCCTTGAGACCACAGCTGGCGCCGATATGGTGGCCACATGAGATGATGGTGGTTTCCTTTAGTTCTAACAACTGCATGTCAATTTTACAGTCGATCTAAATGTCCATCAATCTCCCGTTGGAGATTTTGTGCTCAAAGACCATTTGTTAACTGTCTATAAATTCTACAGGGTTCATGTGAGTCACATGCTAAATATGCTGTGAAAAACTTTTTTTAAACAAGTCCTACTGGAGTCAGTTCATTTCCATAGAGAGGTACTTTGCATCAGCAGCACCATGCTCCAGTGCTCTGGGAGAGTTTATAGTCCTGAGAGTTGAACACTGG